TGTCCTGAGAATTGTGACAAAAAACATAGACTACGAACAAGACCACTTACATACAAAGACAACCCTGTTTTTTTACTAGCTTTTTCATGGGACAATAAAGATAACTAACACAAGACAAATCTACAAACCATTACAATTACTGACTTCAAGGCATCCTTAGTCCCTTAATTATGCCTCCCTGGTAAGGAGTAAGGGCTGCTATATTTAGCCAAATTCAAAATTAATAATAAATAATAATAATAATATTTATTTACCAAATAATTACATATTATGTAAGGTTAACAATGTAAAATATAAGCCATATTAGGAAAAATAAATATGATAGTCCCACAGAAGAGCAAGTCTGTGCGTGGGATTAACTATAAATAATTAGTGTCTCTGACAAGTGTTTTTATAATACTTTCATCTAATTAACATATTGCACTATAGATTAATACTAATAACCATCTAATAATAATAACAACAATAACAATAATAATATTAATAATAATAATTAAAAATAATAATAATAATAATAATAATAATAATAATAATAATAATAATAATAATAATAATAATAATAATAATAATAATAATAATAATAATAATACCAATAACAATACAACAATAGTAATAATAATAACTATAATAATTAATTATTATAACTTTTTGGTACACGTAATACATGATTATAAGAGGAACAAAAAAAATGATTTTTTTTAGATTTTTTTTTGTTTTTTTTTTATTTTCAATTATTTTTTTTTAATTTATTTATTTACCCTCAATTAAGACGTGGATATCTGAGCAACTTAATGTATTACACCACTTTTTGACAAATTTTTTGAATAAGTTAAAGTGATTAAGATTTTTTATTTCTGAGGGGACTAGATTATAACATTTTGGCCCTAAATATAGATATGATCTTTGTAATAAATCTTTTTTTGCCCTGATGACGGAGAAAACATCATTTGACCTATACCTGGTAGAGTATTGGTGATGAATTTTGATTAATTCCTTTCGATTTTTGTGTTGATGTATAATGAGATTTACAAAATATAATTGTCGAATATCTTGAATTTTGGTTTCACTATAAAGTGTACTACTAGTATATAATCTTGGTTTTTTGAATATTATTTTGAGTATATACTTTTGAATAACCTCTAATTTGTGTATGTGTACCTTATATGTACCTCCCCAGGCAACAATTCCATAAGATAAATGGCTTTGAAATAGTGAGTAATATATTATTTTCAGTTGCTCTGTATCGTAATACCTAGTTAAATATTTTAATTTATAATTGACTGTTCTTAGTTTTTTTAGTAAATATTCGATGTGTATATCCCATTTTAGGTGTGAATCTAGTATTAATCCTAAGTATTTTATCTTCGAAACAGATCTAATGTCCACCCTTTCTCCATCCAAATCTATTGACAAAGTAGTATATTGGGGCAAATAACTGGAATATGAAGCAAATGCCATGAAGTGAGTTTTGTCTGTATTGATTGTAAGTTCTTTTTGATCAAACCATTTGATTATGTTTGCGAAATCTATTTCTACTAGACTTTTTAGATCTTGCCAATTTTTGTCTTGATATATTACAGCCGTATCATCGGCAAAACTCACTATGCGACCCTTGCTATTTATTTTAAAGATGTCATTTAGATATAGATTAAACAACAGGGGACCCAGGACAGTTCCCTGAGGAACACCGTATTCACTCGTTAGAAAGGTACTTTTAGTGTCGTCTATTTTAACGCATTGTTTTCTGTTTTGAAGATAACTCTCCATAAGCTTGTACGGTGTTCCCCTAAATCCTATTCCATCCAAAACTTCCATAAGCTGAATGTGACTAATGGTATCAAAAGCTTTCTTTAGATCTACAAATAAGCAACAATGCATACTATAGGTGAAGATATCGCCATTGGCCCAGCGGGTACCTGCAAGGCCGGCACATTTCTAATAGGAAAAGTGTTCTGTTATTTTATGTAATGTTGTATATATTTTAAATATTTAACAAGTGAATAAATGTTTTAAATAAAAAATTTTAAAAGGACCTACTAATTATTGTTGTTTAATTATATATAAAGACTAATGCAAAATAAATGCCGCAACTATTGTATTTGCTTGTCCATTTACGCATTTTATCTGAAATCGATTGTACATATTACATATCTACATGAGTTTTAAGTAAATCATTACTTTCACTATAACTTTAAAGTTCATTAATGGTAATGCAAAAGAATAATCTTAGAATATCTTAAATGGGCGTAATATACACTTTTAGCTGATTCTAAATCTATTTCTTTTGCCAGATCCAGAAGAAAGTTTTTTGTTTAACAATTTTATATGGTTCTTACATTTTTAGCTATTGTCTATCTATATGAATTAGGGTGTGGTTCAAAGCCCACTTGTACTGAAGCTCTAGGCTTATTGTATCCCTCACAGTTTCTATCCCATCAGATTGATTTTCTTGATGAATTCAAGAATATGTCTGATGGGCGCTTTCGCGATTTCTTCAGGTTCCGGATATTGTACCCCGATGTACCATTTCCGTTCCCATTTAAGGTTCTGACAGTAGCATGATATGTGAATAGGAGTTTCGTCCTCCTCTCCACATTATCTACATAGGGAGTCATCAGATATCCCTAAGAGATTTACGTGTAAGCAGTCCTATTACGGCCTTGAGTTTGCTTCTGTCAAGGTTTAGCAGTTGATTTTGTCTGTTATGAATCTTTTGAACTATTGTCTAAATTAATAGCCAGAAGTTTTTTTTTATCGGAACCGACGGATTTATATCTCTTCCGAAAGATGACAAACTCCACGCTGTGCATCGTACTCATTGATATAACGCCTGCCAGCTGTGGTATGCAAATACGCGGGGAATTTTGTTTGGAATTTTATAGGTATGCCGACTTTCCTTGGATAGTCACACTTCCAAGTACTATCTGCGGACGACCCTGCTTGACTGCAGATATCGATACACAATAGTGAACCTACAAAGTTGGGCCGCTGCCTCAGAAGTTTTATTGTGTATGTTCAGTACTACGACTTTCTAGAAGGCTTAGTAATTTTGATTTTTTTTTTTATATTTAGACAAAAATAGGTGCCGTCGCACCATGCTTTGATTTTCTCAATGTCACAAGATATGGTATTGTTACGTTTGTTAATTTTAAACAACACTTTATTTGTTAATAATTTATTTGATCACTTATTTATTTCAAAACAATACTATTTTAATTTATATATTTCTTTAAATTGTTCACTATTTATCTTTACAACTGTTTGTATACGACTGACTGCTCCGTATTCCTCCACCAATATTTGTATACATATTTTAAATAATGGCGAAGGTTCTAGAATGTTCTTCGCCGAAACTAGTAACATTATCACATTAAATCTGGAATGTACTCGAAAGCGCTTTCACCATAGTAGTCATATATGTTTGGTCGTTAGGAATTTAATTATGTATGATAATCGAATAAGTTGAGCCTCAAAGGTCAAATAAGACAGAGAGGGACTTGGAGGATAGAGCATGACTGAATAATGAAATGGCTTGCATTACAGTATTATAAAGAACACAGGGGTCATTGCTATTCTAGAAAATCGTAGTGTTATCAGCATATGGAGTGAAAGTACTTGTAATCTTAATTTGAGTTGTCATTTATATTAAGAAGAAATAAAATGGAACTCCACAGAACCTTGAAGGACTCACATATGATAGGAATTATCGTGGAAACGTTTAAAATGCTCAGCCAAATGGGTTTATTAGCCCTTTCAAGACAACAGAAAATTTCTTAATGGTTAAAATAAATTTTGTATAGTGTATACTCACGTTAAATATCCACAAAGATTACAAAATAGCGTTTCTAAATTCAATCAATTACAATTAAAAAAAGATCTTAGATTTCACGGAATTATACCTTAATTGTGATTAATATCTCTAGTCATTCTACCAATTACAATTTAAGATCGTTTTACTTTATATTGCAATTTTTAATTCGATTTCTGCGAATCTCAATTTATTTATCGAATAAAAACTAATTTGCAGAGATACAGATTTGTATTTATTTATAAGTTTCATACTCATACATTTTTGTTAGGATCTTCTCTAATTATCTCTGGCTTTAATTCAAAATTTCAAATGAGATTTATCACGGATAACTAGAATCACAGACCAAAAATACTTATCTCAAAATAGAATCTTTATGAAGACATCTAAGTAAAAATAAAAATATGACTTTAATATAAATTCACAAATTGCATGACGTTGAAACTAATCAAAGATGAATTATAGAAATATCAATCAATAAGTTGCTTTGAATCGACAATATTATAATATTAAATTGCTCGTTTAGTTTTACTATTATTTTGAAATATTACAAACAATTCATTAGTCAACCGATTCCGTATCATAACGCCGTTTATTTTTGATTCAGTATATTTGATATTTTTTTATTTAAAATAGACAAATGCAGTAATAATAATATTAAAGTTCAACTACATAACCTGTTAAAAGTTTTAAAAGCGCCATATAAAACTATAAATAAAGGACATGGAGCACACCCACTGTTCAAAGAATTTCTTTCAAGTTAGGTTGAAGAATTAACATCTTTCTTGATTGAAAATGATGATAATTGTTAACCAACTGTATCTAAAATACTGACTGGTACAGTATTTTCATTCAATCCTGCGGAACGTCAATGTGAAGTTTCTTAAGAAGGTAATGAAAAATTAACAAAAATCATTCTAGTTGTTCAAATATACATTGTAAAAAAATCGACATCACTTTCTACTTCATCTTACGGAAAGTATAAAAGTTCTGTTTATATTGTTAAATAATCTCTCCAAATACTACGCGAGGTGAGAAGTTTTAACAATCTCACTTCTTGTCACTTCCATCCTTCATAGTCCCACCTCATCTTAATCTCCTTTAGAAAAGTAAGGATTCAAATGTGGCAGGATTACAGTCCTAATGCTTATTGTGTCACCATTTTCAAGTCTTAACAGTCTTCTTTTTTTAGAAGAACGAAACATACAAACACCATCCCAAATTCCATGAAAAGTTTTTGATGAATTTCAGAATCAATTATGTTTGAAGAATGTTTCGGCAATGGACCGTTCGTCTTCAGAATCAACGAAAATGGTTCAGGTCCTCAACTACTGACACAGGTTAGTATTTAAATACTATTAAATAAGTGTACTTAAAACATAATGAACTCATCTAATAGAAAGGAGTTTCCTTGTTTTATATTTTTGAATATTTATCAAATAAACATTTTGGTCTGAGGAAATAATGGCCCAATAGTAACTGTCTGCCTCCAATTATAAGATGGCCTTGTAAGTTTTACCTACAAAGGTCGGCATCTATAGGTCACTACAATTATTTTACCATCAATAACAATTACAGGGCTTTTACCATCCCAGAGTCATTTTGACATCATATAGTTAAAGGGTCGTTGATGGCTGACTTAAGGCTCAATATTGGCTATTTTTAATATTTCAGTGGTTTATTAGAAATGTTTTCAATTTTTTTATGTTCAGAAAAAATAAATAATATTTTGGAAAAGTGGGTCCCGTGGAACACAGACTTTATTTTGTAAACATAAGATATACGTGAATATAAGACTAAGACAAATTAGAAATATAAGGCAACTATGAATACTTATAAGACTAATGTGAATATTATAATATTAAAATTAACATGAGTATATTTATTCATAAAAAAAAAAAAATTAAAAATGAAACAAAATACCATTAGGTACACTCAGACTTGAATCCTCGACCCTTTGCTTGAAAAGTCTACCAAAATCGCTTGAAGCTTTTGTTTGCGAGACAGTGTAATAATGCAATAACGTTTTTCTCTAAAATCAGCCGATTTTGAGTTAAATGAGATGCTAGTTTTCAAAGTACATTTTGGTGCGCTGTAGAGTTGTAAACTTTCTTATGATAAATTTGTTGATTGTTTACTATAATTTCTTTAAAAAAGAAAAAATATTGATAAGTAATAAATTTATTGACTTTTAAAACTCTGACTTATGAGAGTTATGAGCCATCCATTGGTGTATATTTTACATTATATTTTTTCTATTTCTTCTACGTTAACTTCCATGCAAATTAAATTGGCTACAATTATTCGTAATTAACTAGAAAAATGTTCTTGTAGTTTCTTAATAACTCATGCAAATATGCTAATCTACGGCCTATTTATAACATACATCTGCTATTAATGAAATAAACATTTTGCAGATATCTCTAACAATTTGACCTTTCAAGATATCCATCTATGTTAAGTATATTTAGTTACATGGGCTGCTATCTGATTATGTTAAATACAGTAATGTGAACTTCCAAGACTGAGATATGAATTAGTAGAAAAGTTTTAGCAACAAAATAGCAGGATTCGCAATACAACAGGAAATACCACTACGACAAACACTGCAACAATAGTTTTAGTTGTCCTGATACGAAAAGCAAAGGTTAAAATAGTTACATTGCGTGTGGCCTTTGAATTCATTAAATTAGTCTATCTAGACTATTTAGTATGAATAGATTAAAAAGAAACATTACAAATAATTTTGATATGAATCGAAATCAACCCCCAATATTTATTTTGGTAATAAGTTGAACAATAAATTAGGCACGCAACTTAATTTCTAAAGAAAGAAACATTAAAATCTTATACAGGGTGTCCCAATTAAAATAATCCACTTGAACTGAACTAATTGCTATACAACACTGTGCAAGAGAAATAAATCAGCGAGTGTCAGACAAAACTATTACCATCTACTCCGAAATCAATTCTAAAGACAATTCTCTCACCAGACATCAAATCTCAACTGGTGAAAGAATGCCTAGAAAACTTAATAAAACTAAGTAGTCAAAAAAAGTGACCTTAACCTAGACAAACTAGCTCGCGAAGGCTCAGATAAGGCTATTACACACTTCGAATTTATGTGTAGTTGCTAAAGCATTGTGCCAGGCATACATCAAAGAATGGATGCAAAAAGAGTTTTATTGTTCATTAATTTCATTATTATTAGCCAGTCTCGATATCTTTATATAGTTTCGTTCCACCTTAATCTAAGTATTCCATAGGTTTCCAATTTGTGTTCTTTTTGTATGCGTCCAAAATATTCTAACCTTGCGGTTTTAACTTTAAGGTTCATGATATCTTTGATGTACAATATTTTCCGTTAACTGTTTTTGGTCCAAGTAGATATTCTTTCTATACTTCATACAATATAAAAACTAATGCACGTCATCGATGACGTAATAAATTTTAGACCGTCATAGCTCCATACCGTTGCCAAATTTTGGAAAGAATTGGGGAATTCTAGCTACAGAAAAGAAAAGCAGCTGTAAATCGTTATGATGTTAACCAATAAGAAATACCAGTCAGTAGTATGTTCTATAGTCGCGTTCGGTTTGGCCAGGGGCTGGAACGGGACAGAAGCGGAGTTTTTTAGGGTGCTTTTAAATGACATTTAAGCGTGTTGAACTGTCACTAATCGGACTAAACCACATACTTTGATTTTCTTTTACTATACGGAGAATGGTCGCACTGCGCAGCTTTCTGAGTGCCTTTTAAAAGGAGATAGAAAACTCCGCCATTTTGAACCCTTATTACGTGTTGCCTACATCTTGGCGCAATATTTTTAATAGGTGCGTTTTAATCATCCGCTTCTGTTTCGGAATTGTCGGTTTTCTTGTTTTAATCTGACAGGTTAAAACGACTAAACCAACAATTCCGGAAGCAGAAGCGGATGATTAAAACGCACCTGATATTTTGCTTGCTGCTGTCAGTGTCAGTGAATATTATTTTTGAAGTCACAGTTTATTGCTAAAGAATCAGTTAGCTCACTCGGACCAGTTGAAAGTTCCAAAATAACATTCACTCCAGGGATACAAATTCAGGATACGCAGAAGACTGCTGTTTTATTATAGGCGGTTATCATATATTGTATTATCGGAATTGCACAGTGTATAAACTGAAACATTGAGATCCAAAGTGCCGACGCAGAGTGAGCGATCTGATTCTTTAGCTGTAAACTGTGTCACAGGGTTCAAAATGGCCGCGCCCTATGTTGGGCGTGTCGGACCTCTCTCTTGCCTCGTATAGTAATCAAAGTATTAAAGGGGTTAAAGTAACTTGCCAGACCGAACGCAATGTATGTATAAGCATGAATCTATTAAGAATATCATGAGTATCATGAGTAAGGATTTTAAAAAATAACGAAATTTGCTTCATGGGATTATATTATTATAGCTTTATTATAATGTTGCAGTTATTTTAACTACCTGAACAATATTTGGGTATCAAAAAATGAAAACATAAATATTTTTCAGAACATAACAACTTTTATTTTACAGTTTGTTAGTTATATAAAATTCCTATACAAATAACAAAGTAAATATTAAACAAATATTAAAAGGTAAACTAAAGAATACAATTATTATTATTACAGTACAATACTGCAATCAATTATATAATTAGTGTGTAATTCACTCAATAACTCCAAGTCATCACCATAATTATAACAATATCTCTTTCGACTTCTCTTGAGATTGCTATTCAGATTCAGCGCTACTGAAATCATTATCATCGCTTTTTGGTGTAATAATAATTGGAGCAATTTCTATTCTATTATTCTTTATCTCTATCGTACCATTTTGAGATTTCTTTTTCTGTATGGCTGATACTTTTTTCCAAATTTATGGTGTTATGGTCCGGAGTGCTTCTGACCACATATTTAAACAATCTTCTTTTTTTACTATCTCGACCAATATGTCTATTGTAATATTGCTTTCTAATGCCCCAAATAAGTTCAATTGAATTGAATATACAATTATCAGGAGGGAGGCATAATACTTTATGTCCATATTATTCTGCTGGAAGATCAGCCATGTGAATGTTTTCTTTTACTGACTGTGCAACAAGATTCAGAAGTTCCGCTTTAAACATAGCAAATGAAAATCTAATATTCTGATTTGTCAGCCACTTTTGTATTTTAATCTTTGTCCAGCTAGCGTTTGGTGTTTCATGTAACAATGTACTGTGATATGAAGCAATGTCCATTATGATTAAGGATGGTTCATTAAGTTTTTCAGTAACTGTTCTTCAAATCATTTTAAAAAATTATCATTTCACCATGATAATCACTCAGCTTATTTTGTAACGCAAATATAGCCTCTTCTCCTTCAATGAACCCATTTTCATTTCCAACATTGAGTATAATGTACCTTTAAATAAAAATTTCAACTGAAGCATGTATTCTAGTAATTATTTACGTACCTTTTACCATCAACTTTTGTGGTTTTCACACTTCTTTTATTTGTATTTTGCCATGAATAATTTATAGTCCCATTTTGAAAAACCCACGTCTCATCAATAAAAACGGACTGAAATAAACCTGTTTCCTTTTCTTTCATGAAACAGCCCGCTTCACAGCAACATCGGAAAGTTCCATAAGCCCTCGCCTTGGATCATCTTTTTCCATTTAAAACCAATATCTTTTAATAAGGTGCATAATGACATGCAGCATCCATTAAACAATTCTTTTTCTTTAAATTTTTCTAATAAAGAATCCAAAGTTACATGTTCGTCTGCAAATAAAATATATAAGTATTTATAATTAGATGACATAAAATGAATAATTTACACCTACTAGCTTTATACATGTTGTAAATAATATCTCGAATTGTACTTGTATCTAGAATTCTTGCATTAGTTACTTTCTATGTACGAAGACGCTTTTTTGGAGAAGATTTCAAAACGACATCATTCTTAGCTGCTTGAGAAATAGCACTTACAGTGGACAAATTTAAGTTAAGCGCTAAAAAATGAGTTTAGTTTCATGTTTCTAGACAATATCAGTAAAAACTTACTTCTCTAACAGCAGTTAAGGGCAGTAAAGGACCATTGTTGTCGCGTTATTGTTCAAAATACTGTATCAATGAAGCTACGAGCTCCTTACATCGGCTATTTAATTTCTTTAGCATTTTTAAACCTGCGAGGAAAACAATATGGTTGTTCTTAAAAGAACAGTTTTTTATAAATAAAAATAATTATCAACTAACCAAAAATAATAATGAAACGACCAAAAAAATAACGAAATAATCAAAAATATTAAATAACTCAAAATATTCAACTAATAGTATTCAATCAGACC